TGTAAACAAAAACCAAGACAAAGCTGGAGTAACTACATTCATTTTGAACAAAGACGGCTTAAGCACAGGGAGATTATTAAGGATATAGAGGGACAAAGGGTTGATTCTCCAAAAAAACCCCCATAAATGTGTATGCACCTAACAAAAAATATTCAAAATACATAAGGCAAAAATGAATAGGTGTACAACATAATGGTTCAACAATTCTATACACTAGTGTTCATCATTAATCTCTATTATCTATTTCACCCCCCTCTCCCCCCACCTCTCCTCTGGCAACCACCAGTTTGTTCCCTGTATTTAAAAGTTGGGGTTGGGTCCTTTTTTTCAGTTTGTCTTGTTCCTTAAATGCCAGACATGAATCAAATCATAAGGAAAAATAGACAAATCCATTATTATACTTGGAGGCCCACAACCTTCTGAATAATTGATAGAAGAAGTGGGCAGATGATCAGTAAGGACAAAGATGACCCAAACAGCCCTATCAAACAGCTTGACCTAATTGACACTCATAGAACAACACTTCATCCAACAACAGTGGTACTGTTCTACACACTGACTTAAGGACTTCTGGCTTGGTTTCTTAAGTTAGTATACATTAGAATTAAGAGAGGACATCTGTTTTTAAAAATTATAATAAAAAATGCATAACATCAAATTTACAATCTTAACAATTTTTTAAACATGAGACTCAAACTTACAACCCCAAGATCAAGAGTTATATGCTCCATCAGCTGAGCCAGGTGCCCCCCAATCTTAACAATTTTTTAAGTGTACAGTTCAACAGTGTTAAGTAGATTTACATGGTTGTGAAACATATCTCCAGAACTTTATCTTGCAAAACAGAAATTCTATACTCACTAAACAATTCCTTTCCCCTCCCCACCCCTCATCTTCTGAAAACTACCATTTATATTCTTTTTGTATAAATCTGTTTCAGACACCTAATACAATGGAATCATATAGTACTTGTTTTTATGTCTGGCTTATTTCACTTTGCATAATGTCTTCCAGATTCATCCATGTTACAGCATGTGACAGATTTCCTTCCTTTTAAGAACTGAATAATATTCCACTGTATCTATATACCACATTTTGTTTATCCACTCATCCAATAATGGACATATGGGTTGCTTCCCCCTCTTGGCTACTATGAATATGGGTGTGCAAATTCTTTCAATTCTTTTGGATATATACTCAGAAGTGGGATTGATGAATCACAAGGTAGTTCTATGTTTAATTTCTGAGGAGCCACCCTACTGTTTTCCTCAGTGGTTGTACCATTTACATTCCCACCAGCAGTGCACAAGGATTCCAATTTGCCCATATACTTGGCAACACTTGTTATTTTCTTTCTTTCTTTGATAGGAGTCATCCAAATGGGTATGAGATAGTAACTCATTGTGGGTGTGACTTGTATTTCTCTGATGAATAATATCGAGAATTTTTTCATTGTTGGCCATTTGTAGGAGATAACATCTTTTGACTTAGCTACGAAGAACTTTGAACTCGAATGAATTTGTTAGAGGTCGCAGGAGTCTAACGTTAATCTGCAAAGTCAAGCATTTAAAATCTAGGGCAGTTTCTCTTGCTAGCAAATCTGATACATTTTATAACTTACTGAAACATACTCCATTACCATTAAATCTTCAAAAGGAAAAACAGTACTTTTGGAAATGGTATATAGTTAACATAATAGGAATATAATATTATCCTCTGATGTTAAGTATATCCTGATGGTTGACAATGTCGTTACTGTCAGTTTTGTGTAGTTGTTCTATCAATTGTAGATAGAGGGGAATTAAGGTCTCCAGCTCTATTTGTGGATTTGTCTGTCTTTTTAGATCAGTTTGTTTTTATTTCACATATTTCATAGCTCTGTTGTATGGTACACACCCATTTAGGATTGCTAAGTCTTCTTAGTAGATTCACCTATCAGTGTATAGTGTCTCTCTCTAGCCCTGGTAGTTGTGTTTGTTCTTAAGTTTATTTTTTTCTTTCTTTTTTTAAGGTTTATTTATGTATTTATTTATTTAGAGAGAAAGTGCATAAGCTGGGGAGGCGTAGAGCGGAGGAGAGAGAGACAAAATCCCAAGCAGGCTCCACCCTGTCAGTGCAGAGCATGATGCGGGGCTTGAACCCAAGAACCATGAGCTCATGACCCAAGCCGAAATCAGGAGTCAGACACTCAATTGACTGAGCCACACAGGCGCCTCTTAAGTTTATTTTTCTAATGATATCATAATTCACTCCTGCTTTAATATTTGCATGGCATATCTTTTTCCATCCTTTTACTTTCGACTTACATATATTATTATCTTTGAAGTCACTTTTTTGTAAACAGGACATAGTTGGGCTATGGTGCTTAATCCACTCTCTGTTGATCTTGGTCTTTTAACTGAAATAAATAGTGCATTTAAATTGAATGTAGTTAGTAATATGCTCTAACTTCTAGATCACTGATTCTTTCCTCTCTCTTCTTTATTTTGCTGTTGAGCCTATCAAAGTTTTCATTTGTTACTATAGTTTTAGTTTTAAAATTTCCATTTCTTCCTCATTTACATCTGTTTTTCTAAGTTTCACATATGTTCACAATTGTTCATTAAAGAATTTTTATAATGGATGCTTTAAAATCTGTCATAATTTAAGTTTATTTATTTTTGAGAGGGAGAAAGAGAACAGGGGAGGGGCAGAGAATCCCAAGCAGGCTCTACACTGTCAGTGCAGAGCCCGACATGGGGCTCAAACCCACAAACTGAGAGGTCATGATCTGAGCCAAAACCAAGAGTCAGATGCTTAACCAGTTGAGCCACCCAGGTGCCCATGTCATAATTCTAATATCTGTGCCATCTTGGTGTTTACTCTCTGTTTTTCTGTTTGAACTCTGTTTCTTGATGAGATAAGTAATTTTCAAGTGAAATATGGACAGTTTGAATATTATATTATAGGACTCTAGATCTGATTTAGTTCTTGTGCTTTAGCAGGCCTCCCCTGGCACCGCCTTCCAGTGGATGCGGTGGGTGCTATCTCATTACCACTAGGTGGAGGTGAAGTTCAGGTTCTCTACTAGGCCACCATTGTTATGAGAGGTGGAGGGGCTCAATGTTAATAGTAAGTAGGGGTGGAAGGCTCCCCACTAGGACTCCATTGATACCACCTCTGCTAGAGAGGGAGAGAATAGAGTATCTCATTATTCCCCAGGGAACAGGTACAAGTCCAGCTCTACATTTGACCCCGATCTAGCTCAGGGTCACTACAACCTTAAAGTTACTTTTAGCCCTTATCTACCTTGACCTCTGCTGTACTGACATTCAATGTATCCTCTTTATTTGAAACTTTCACTTCCTTTCAACTTCATGACATAACCCTCTCCAGACTTTTCTTCTTACCTATCAGATCCTTCAAAGTTTAGTCAAGAGAATCTCTTTCTTTCCTGTCTCTCTTTAACTTTCCAGATTCTGTTCTTGTAGCTCTTTTCCTCATTCTGTATTTCTTCCTAAGCAATTTCACCCATTCTCATAATTAAATTACCACTTGCAAAATAAAACCTCCTAACTCTCTATGCCTCCAAGCAAGAACTCAAATGACTTCCAGAACCATATGTTCAACTGCTTGTTGGCACTGTCCCTTCTGTTGTTATTAAAAACATCTAAAAGGAACTCATCCTGTCCTCCATCCAAACCTGTTCTGTTTTTGCATTCACTGCCTCACAGGTAGTGACAAAATCATTTAGCAGGTCTCAGTAGTTGGAAAGCGAGGAGTTATCTGCCATCCATTCCTCTCTTTCTTAATATCCATTCAATCAGTTGCTAAACAACTCTACCTCCTAAAAAACATTTATTTCCTCTTCACTCCAAATAAAATGACTTAATCAGGCGTCTTATATCACCTTAATTAATTTCCTTAAGTCATCTCTCAACTACACACCCACAATGAACATTCTTGTCAAAATGATCTTAAGGAAGCTCAATTATAATATCAAACATTTCTCTGACCAAACCTTTCACTCTTTATAACAATGTTTTCTTTTCCCAAACTGTTGAGTGCAACCATTAGTAAGCTATAATATCAATTCAGCAGCTTTCAACAACCAGTTCTTTAAAAAATATTGTTTTATGAAATACATTTGAATGAACTAGAAAAAAAATATATTTTTAAGTTTATTTATTTATTTTGAGAGCCTGACTTGGGGGCTCGAACTCAAGAACCGTGAGATCACTACCTAAGCCAAAATCAAGAGTCTGATGCTTAACTGACTGAGCCACCCAGGCGCCCTGAATAAACTAGAAAATATTGGCAAGTGCTAGACATACTGATAGGTAAGTTCTGTTTTGTTTCATATACACATTCATTTTATATCACAAACCACTGAACACATATAAACTTAAACATACAGAAACACTGCACACACATGTATTAAGCATGTGTATACTGGGTCATGATATAAGCTCTTCCAGGAAAGCTTCTTGGTCCCTCCTATTTCTGTACCCATGAAGAGAATGAAACATTCTTTTGCTGCTATATCTACACCATGTTAATGCTCCTGTCAAAGCTTTAATCCCTTTTTCTGCTCCCTACAAAACCATAAACTTCTAACACAGTACGTGGTTCATAGCTGGCACTTGATGAAATACCAAGTAAAAAATCATACTTTTGTGCTTACACAATAATTTATTACCTAACCTAAGGTAGTAACCATTTTTTAAAAGGCTTGAGGCAGTATAACAATAACAACATAATAATCTAGCATTTATGAACATGTTGTATTTGCCAAGTATTTTCCTAGTGCTTGACATGTATTATTTAATTCTCATACCCTTTTAGATATTATTTTCATTTTTTAAATGAGAAAACACACAGGTAGGGACATTAAATAATTTCCCAAATGTCACATAAGTGGTAGTGATAGAATAAAAAAATTAAAAAGTTTTGACTCTAGAAAACAAAGATATACATTATAGAATGTTAAAAATGTGCTAAAAGAAAGAAAATTAACTTACTTCAAATAAAAGTCTATAATAACATCATTTAAAAATTCTCCTTCACTTAGACAGTGTAGGTCCTCATTAGTAACGGAGATGCCTCCCTTAGCTGGAGGTGGTGGATATACTATCAATCTGTAACAAAATAAACAAAAAAACACAAGCAAAAACCACAAGTGTGTGTGTGTGTGTGTGTGTGTGTATGTACAGAATTGAAATTTAATAAAACAGAAAAGAAATTTAAAAGCACTGCAAACATAAATGAATACTCTCACTTTTCTACGGGGCCCATGAAGATGGTATGATTCTCTCCAGTTTCTTCCTCATCATCAAAGAACTGGAATTCTTGTTTGTTTTTAAGTTGTATTTTAGATTCAAGGGACACCTAGTAAAGGAAATTAAATTACCATTTTACAAAGTCAACTGAGAAATTTTTCACTAAAAAAAAAAGCAAACACAAGACAAGAATACTTTTCAATTAAAGAAAATTACAAATATGAATTTAAAAAGTATACATGACTTTAAAAAGAAACAGGCAAAACTATGGTCCACATTCTTTGTATGTGTAGTTTCAAGAACAGTGATATGCTTCCAATTTTTGTAACAATGGTTTTATGGTATCTTATCTAAGATCTCTATCATCTTTATTTGGATTATGTTTGTAAATCGAAAGAACAAATATAGTGGTTTTTTCTTCTGAGAGTGGAGGTCTATCTAAGTTCAATGGCTAGGCAATCCATGGGATATGGGAGGAGAGGCTCAGGGAACGCAGTCCAATGAGCTTTAGTTCTCCAGAATAACAAAGAAAGAAACAAAGAAACAAAGAAAGAACCTGCGTTGAAATTTTATTCTATTGCAGCTGCCTTACAGCTCCAGTTGCTTTTTTCTTCCTCATTAACAATCTCTTATCACAAGTTTTACAAAAGAAGGGGAATGGTTCCTCTTCTTTCTGTTCTTTTCCTCAACCCACTTACTGTATGAATAGCTCTTCTCTGGTGAGACCTTACTCAGCTTCACCAAGATTGTGCCTTGGATAGCCCTATTTCCAATTTGTAGGCAGATTGGAAGATTTTAAGTATTTCTAATAAATTAAGTTGGCAAAATTCAGTTGCATGATAAGGAGACAAATTTTTATTATGTAACATTATACTATGTGTTATAGTACACAGCCTTTGGTTCAGGTGGCTTTAGAGTTACCTACTGTATGATTAGTTATTCTAGAATTGGATATGTATGTTGACAGTCACAATCAAATGATATGTATTCTTTGGTTCTCAAATTTTCAACTATGTGTACACATGGTACATATAAATGTACATCAAGGACCAAAATTCCTTTATTTGTACTGAATCCAATACATCACTAGGAACCACTAGCAAATTTAAGAGTAACGATTAATTTGAATGTAGCAGTATGAACATGTATGTTTAGACTGGGGTAAAAAGAAAACAGGGTAAGAGAAAAAGACAAGATGAAAAGATAATACAATGTGGAAAGAACTAAAAAAATGCTTTTGAGACCTGTACCAAGTACTATTTGTGTCCCAAGTCACCTACCCACCATTAATTTTCTGACACAAGATAGTTTATGAATCACATATAAAAGCAAATAATTCTGAAATGGAATTAAAAAGATCTAACTCCAATATTTCCCTTTAAAGCTAGGCATTATTTAAAATTACATTAAAAAACTAAAGAACATAATTACATTTTTAATTTTGTTTTCTTTTTGCCCACAACTTCCTTTGATGCTCTCTTCATAGGTTCTTGTACAGGCAACAAGTCTGCTATTGGCTTCTTCAAAGGGAATTTTCGCAAAAAAATTGGACACATTATTCTTTATACCAATGTCGGTAATGATACTTTCAAATACCATATTTGCCTGAGGATCAAGGCCATTTTGAAATATTAAAATTATGTATTGTTCTTCCAAATCTGAAAAAAAAAATAACTTTAAGTCTAAAAGAAAAAGATAGGTAGATATACATTTAAAAAAGAGTAACAGCTAGTTATTTCCAAGGATATCACTAGAAATCCTGGTACATATGTTTAAAATAGTTTGGTATACAGTGGATGTATAATACTGGAATAAAGACCAGTAATGGTGTCATCTAACAATGTCACCTGAAAGTTATTAAGAAAAAGGAACTAGGACACATTACCCTAGCAGGAAGCTTAAGAACAAACCTGTTCATGGATGTATTAATTTACCTCGTCTAATAGAATCCAAATATATTTATAGTTTTAAATATATTTAAAAAAAAATTTTTTTTTTCAACGTTTATTTATTTTTGGGACAGAGAGAGACAGAGCATGAACGGGGGAGGAGCAGAGAGAGAGGGAGACACAGAATCGGAAACAGGCTCCAGGCTCTGAGCCATCAGCCCAGAGCCTGATGCGGGGCTCGAACTCACGGACCGCGAGATCGTGACCTGGCTGAAGTTGGACGCTTAACCGACTGCGCCACCCAGGCGCCCCTTAAATATATTTTAATTAACATTTTTGTAAAACACAAATTGCCAGGTGCACTATTAGTAGCTCTAGAGAATTTAATTGCAAAAACTACTATTCACTAATATGCCAATTCTTACAGCTTTAATAGTAACTATCGATTTTCATCATTAAGCTGAAGCAGCAATTACTGCTGAAAAGTATTTACCTTACAATTAGTCATCCTATGTCATAAACGTCAGAGGTGAAGGGATACAAACTGGAGAACTACATCTATTATTGTAGAGGATGAAGACTCATTCTAAGAAGCCACAAACTTTTTACTCAGGCTGTTTCAAAGATTCCAGAATTATATGGTTGATTTACACTTAGCACTCCTTCTAGTGCATTAATTTTCTTTTTCATTTTACTCCGATTATAGTTTTAAAATAAGGAATGAAGATCTTTTTTGAGTTTTAACTCGTTTTGAAAACCTTCTAAATGGGTAAACCTGGGTATTATCTTTAGAACTTTCACTTTCTGTGGGCTTTTTTCGTCATTTATAAAACGGGAGACTATATAGATATTTCGAGATCACTGTAAGGACTGTAGATAGGACATCTATTCAAGTGCACTCACACTGTATTATTTTAATGTGTTCCACAAAACTTACTTGTTAATTTATTTATTCCCTTAGAATCATTCCAAACTTTATCTTCCATATTCATTTGCAGTTGCATGCTCAGCTTTTGATAAACTGCTGGTATTGTCTGAAGAAATACAACTGGTAATTTTCGGACATTACACCATTCACATTTAGTTAGATCAGAGGTATTTAAAGTAATCCCTACAGGATCATTTTCTGGTTCTGGAGGAAAATAAATGGAAATAGAAAAGGAATTAATTCTAAAAATCAAGAATGGAGGAAACTGTGAAGAAATACAAGTTTAAAGTTAACCACATATTTGCTACGCTCTATAAACAGTAACTGTAGTGGGAAATGAAAAATCTTTATAACTATCTTAAAGAAGCTTCTACATTTTTTTTTTAAATGAAAAGAGGATTCTAATGAAGTATACTTACAAAATTAAACACGGGCTTTATAATGTTACAGAATTAAATTACACTATTAGGATACATGCCCTTTGTCAAGAAAACATGTAAAAATGAATTCATCTTCATGAATTCTATGAATATCATTTAATATATTATTCTTGTAAAGTGTTTTATTGTAAACAAAGCTATAGTGACTAAAAAGACATAAAATAGCTTACCTTCTAGCTGTATCTTGATAAAATCTAAACAAAACTAAAAAGTAAGATAAATTAGTATCAATCATAAACTTACAAAGATTTTGCTACAAATATCCTAAGTGTCGTATTGTTATTTGAGACTTAGACTATAGAAGGCAGAAAAACAAAACCATCTACCATGTACTTAAATATGAGATCTCCCCCCCATTCCAAATTTTCCTTCAGAAAGGCAAGCTTCACCTTCTTATTCAAATACTTAGAACATTTCTTATATTGGTTTATATTTCTTAGAACTTCAAAGAGATATTGACAGAACATTACAATGAACACCTGAATACTCTTTACCTAGATTCACCAACTGTTAAAATTTTTCCACAACTACTCCCCATCACTCTTTCTATGCATATACACTTCCTTTTGCTAAACCAGCATAAAACAAGCAGAGGACATCATGACATTCCCTAAGTTGTTCAGCATGTATCTCCCAAGAACAGGACATTCTCTTATACAACCAAAACAGCATTACTACACCTAAGAAAATCACGATTAATTCCATCCAACATGTACTTCTTACTCCAATTTCTCCAACTGTTCCAAATTTTCCTTTATTGTGTTTTACCTTCCTCAAGCCATAATTCTGTCAAGGTTACATTTGTTTCTTTTGTCTACCTTGGTCTAGACCAGAAATATGTCCCCCTCTGTTCCTCATGACATGACCTTTGAAGAATCCAGGCTAGGTTCTACAAAATGTACAACATCTTGAATTTGTGTTTCTTCAATTTAAAATTCAGGCCACACATTTCCAGCAAATTTAGCACACAGGTAATGTCTTATACCTCCTACGACATCACACTGGAAGGCACAGGATGTCAGGCTGTACTAATAACAAGCTTAATCACTTAGCAAAGGTGTGTCAGGTTTTTCCACTGTAAAGATAATATTTTTCCCTCAGTAATTAAATAGTAACCTGTGGAGAGATACTTGAAAGCTTGTGAATACCCTGTTCCCTAATAACCTTTCTGCCAATGGTTTTACATTCCATTGAAAATTCTGCCTCAATCAGTTATTGTTGGTACTTCTAAAAAGGCGATTTGCTAATAATTTTAACATGGAGAAGACATATTAAGTCAATATATCCTACTCATTTTCTGTGTTACCATTAAGAGAATGCAAAAGGCAGACAAGAACTTCAAAATGCATTTTAAAATAAGTTGGAGGACACCTGGCTCAGTTGGTAGAATATGCAACTCTTGATCTGAGGGTCATGAGTTCAAGCCCCACATTTGGTGCGGAGCCTACTTAAAAATAAGTAAGTTGGATTGATATACCAAAGAACAAACAGATACATTAAAAGCAGGTTTATTAGTAAAATGCTCATGGCAGAATCTAGCTGGGAGTTTTATGAGCATTCACTGTAAAATTATTTCAACTCTTTTGTTTAAAAATTTTCACAATGTAGGGGCTCCTGAGTGGCTCAGTTGGTTAACTGTTTGACTTTTGATTTCGGCTCAGGTCATGATCTCACAGATAATGAGATCAAGCCCCACATAGGGCTCTGTACTGATGGCATGGGGCCTGCTTGGAATTCTTGCTCTCATTCTCCCTCTCTCTTTCAGAATAAACATTTTTAAAAAGTAAATAAAATTTTCACAATGAAGAAAAGGAAGCAAAGAGATATAAAACAAATTCAGTAATTATTACAATAATTACTAAGTCTAGAATGTTACTAAACATACCTTCTAAAGACTATGCCTGTAGATAATTATGATAAATGGGGACACCAAGAATGCTTACTTGTAGCTAGGGAAACATTACAACATACATAGAAGCTGAAGTTACATGCTTTAAAAAGTATGTTAGAGGATTCAAAAAGTGGCAATAAGGATGACATAAACACTAATGTGGAAGCATTTGAATAAAACTGCTGTATGAGATATAAGAATAGAAAGAAGCATATCTAAGTATCTGTCATTTAAAAACTTGTATGTAACTAAATTACAAGTAGACATTGGGCTTTTTCACCATCATATCCAAGAGTTTCTAAATTTAAGGTAGCTGAAAACCTTAAATTTTATATCTTCTCATTGGAAAAAAGAGGGATTGTATTATATTTGGGTATAAATGCTATTCCTAATAATGTAAGCCATTTTCCTGTAAATTAAAAGTATTTACTTTTAAATAAAATTGGCACTTCTAGGGGTGTCTGGCTGTCTCAGTTGGTAGATCATGTGACTCTTTTTTTTTTTAATTAAAAAAATATTTTTATTTATTTTTGAGAGAGAGACAGAGAGAGAGAGAGCAAGCAGGGGAGGGGCAGAGAGAGAGGGAGACAGAATCCGAAGCAGGATCCAGGCTCTCAGCAGGATCCAGGCTCTCAGCCCCGACATGGGGCTCGAACCCACAAACAGTGAGATCATGACCTGAGATGAAGCTGGATGCTTAACCAACTGAGCCACCCAGGCGCCCCGAGCATGTGACTCTTGATCTCAGCGTTTTGAGTCCAAACCCCACAATGGGCATAGACAGGTTACTTAAAAATAAGATAATATAAAGATTTAAAAGTGGAACTTCTAGATAGTATCAATTCTTACACTGAATGAAATTAAAGTAATTAAATTATCCAATAATAAATGAGATTTGATAAAATATTTAAAACAATAAAACATTTAAAATCTGTTTCTGAGATTAATGATGACATGGAAGATAAATCACTTCACTATAAAACACAAGGCAGTTATATTCAAGAAGAAAATGTCAAATCATCTTTAATATATTATCTGAAGAAATTACAGATTAATTATCCTTCATTAAAGAATGTTCTTTGGAAGAATCCCATGGTACAAGGAAAGTTAACACCACAGTTGCAAAATTCCACATTATAAGCACAACTTTTTGGTTGAAATATTTCACTTAAGCATTTAAAGAAAAATTACCTCTGTGAACACATTCTATATTACATATACTGCCTTTTACTTCTTAAAGTAAATCCATGAAGTTAATTTTCTTTACTAAATCATACATACACTAACCTATAATTTTCATATAAAAAAATTTTTCATTCTGATTTTAATGTTATGTAGGTTTTTTTAAAGTAATCTCTACGCTCAATGTGGGGCTCAAACTCACAACCTCAAGATCAAGAATCGCATGCTCTACTGACTGAGTCAGCCAGGCCCCCGAATGCAGTTCTTGATAGCTAGCCTTGAGACCAAATGTGCACCTTTCAACTAAATATCTAAAATGCCAGCAAAGCCTTAATTATCATCGTGTAAAGTTCTGATTAACGGTGTCAATGTGGGAAAAAGCCAGAAAACCTATAGGGTGCCCCTGAGAATTTTTGAGCTATTTTGACTTAGAATGACACTTTTGTTAACTGACAGAAACCAGGAAAGATAATCTGTCCTATGAAGACTTGTAACAAAACACAAATTTCATAAATCCTTGACAACCTTGACATATGTTACAATGTTATTGGGTAATAATGGATTGTCTAGTCTATATATAATTTGCTTTAAATCTCTGGAGTACTTCTAGTTTTTAAATGGTGAGAAGCTGGAGTTTTTTGATTAAAAAATACAAAACAAAACAAAACAAAAAACCAACCAACCAACCAACCAACCAAGCAACCAACCAAAAAAACGCAGGACGTCTGGGTAGCCCAGTCAGTTAACTGTCTGACTCTTGATTGTGGCTCAGGTCATGCCCTCACAGTTCCAACCCTGCACTGGGCTCTATGCTAATAGCATAGAGTCGGCTTGTGATTCTCTTCATCCCAATCTCTCTCTCTGCCCCTCCCCCATTTGCACCCCCCCAGTAAAAAAACAAAAATTAAAAATTAAAAAAATTTAGGTTTCACATACCGTTTTGCTCTGATAAGAAATCAAGTCCATATATCATTTTCTCCTATACTAACCTATATATATTTTTTCTTTTTGGCCATATTTGGCCATATTGTATCCTGAAACTATGAATCCTAGAAAATAAATAGCTATTACTTACCATAATTTAAATAGCAACAGTATAACTACCTTTTAACTTTCCTTATGTGGCATAATGTGTTTTCTTAAAGACACTACTTTATGTCTAAAGAACAGTAATAGGGGACCAGGCTTCAAACAATAGATGAAAACAGACAGTTGGGGACGCCAAGTTAAGCAATCATAAAATAAAAGCTTACAAACTAAGTGTAGTGCTAAACCAAGATTAATTTACCAATAATGTACAGAATACATTAGGAAGAAGAAAAATGATGACTAAGAAATCTGGTTATATTGTATTAAAATTATATTAAAATTTCAAATGCAAAATAAACATTTGAATTAAATTGGTGTCAGCAGAATAACATGGATGACAAGTAAGATAAAGGAACTACAGAAAGTCCTTTGGGCTTCCTGGACACTGAACTAGTCCAAAAGCACAGTGCCTCTTGTGTGATGACTGTATTCCAATAATCTATTTCTAGGAGTCTTAATGTTGCAAGACATTTTTCTACAGACCCCAAAGCTTTTGGATTCATCTTTCTCTCATTATCATTCTTTAAAATACTCTTTTCACGCACTGAGCTGGCATGAGAATAAAACAGTAACATATTAGTTTTCTAACTCAGTGAGAGTAAGTATCTTCTTATGATGGATATGTCACTACCTTGAACATTACATTAGAATTTTTTATCCAACGATTTTTACTGTAAGAAACTATTTATAATTGTCTATATACTCTTAAAGCAATTTGAAATCTTGAAATAATTTTTAATATTCTATTAAATATTTTAATTTATAAGTTTTAAAATATTATATATTAGCCTTAGCCATGTAATTTTGAAAATTATAACTGATACAGTAAAAAGCTTAAGAATGTACTTACAATTACAGGTTCTATTAATAGTCGGAAGAGTGTTCCTACTCGTATACTTCGACAGTTTAAAATGACACTGTCAAAGGAACTTTGGCAGCTTAAAGATACAGGATCAACTAAAGTTTCTTGAGACGTCACTTTACGACGTTTTAGAGGTGTGTTGACAATAGAATTACCAAACTGAAAAAGAAAAAAAATGTTTTCATTTTATAAGCAACTAAAACAAGGTTGAAACTAAGCCGACATATGCAAAGAAGACCCAACATAAAAAACATAATTATCAAAATATTAAAGACTAATTTTACTTCAACAGAGGATGTAAATATTTATTGATTTCATATAACAGAAATCCTTCTTATTTTGTCTAGCTATACTATACTTTACACCTAGTCATTACTTGAAATTACAGTAATAGCATAGCACCAAGAATGTACTTTGGGAAATCAGACTACCTAGGTCCATATCATAGCTATACCACCTTGTAATTATCTGATTTTTAAAACAATAATAACTCCTTTCCTAAACTCCTTTCCTAAAACTCCTTTCCTAAACTAAAATAGATAGAAGAGCATCTATTCAAATGATGTAGAGTATATAAGCAGCTGAGCACAACGCTTCATGCACAGTAAAATGCTGGATAAAAATTAGCTAGTAATAGTGATAGTGGCTGTAATATTTGGATTAAATCAGAAATTCTTTAGAAAACAGATAATTTAGGGGAATGGTTATTTACACTACAAAAAGATTCTTTAACATATTTTAAAATGTACTTAGATTTGTTAAAATTTCAGTCACTTCCACATGCAAATTAATCATAATATAAAATACCATTTTAGGAGTATATAATTTAAATGTAACTAAAGTTACGCTAAAAACTTTACTAATAATTATCACAAGAATAAAACATGATCTTGATAGAAAGTAAGAAAAAAACAAAACCACTGCATAGAGACAGGCACTATTCTCCCACTGTCCCTCTAGAAACATTTCCATGATCTATGGTATAGGTAAAAATATGTATTAAAATATTATATATGTATATATACCTATATCTCTACAACTGTGCACACACACACACACACATTTATTTCTCAACACTGAGTTTTCAGGCTCATTAACAGATTAATCATGAATATTTCCCCAAATTATTAACAGAAACCTAGTAAAGAGGTTTAAAAGCTTTTTCAGTTTCAGAATTATTTCTTGAAATAAAATGTCATTTAGCTCAATAATAAAATTGGTAATTATAAGAGCTGCTCCAGTTGAATCCAAAGTGGAGAGACTGAGTCTAGAAACGAGTGGTCCACATCTTTCCCAAGGAGCCTCTAAAAGAGCACTGAGAAACTCTTACTATTCACTGTGCCAGTTTGAAAACTGTTCACTCACAAACTCCATCGTATGGAAATCCATTATTTATTTAACTGAACCCTTCTATGCTGGACATGTGAGTTCTTTCTGATCTTACCCCATGACAACACTATTCTCCTCCAAGCATTTTTGCTGCTCAATCATGGGTGGGTGTGTGTGTGTGTGTGTGTGTATAAACTAATGCCTAATTGCCCTCTAGCATACCTATACCAATTTACACACCCAACACTCTATTTCTCCAACACTAACCAAAATTACAGACTATTATATACTTTAAAAATTTTCAACAATCTGACAGTTAACAAAATGTATTTTAATTTCATTTTCAGTACTTCACTACATTGTAAAAACTCTATTCATTTCCTTTATTCATTTTTCTATGGTTTGCTTCTATAAAGGACCAACTCACACTTTGTCACACAGTTCACTGTTTCCCCCACTCACATCTACCCATCAAATTCAGTTTATAGTATTTTGGTACAGTGTTCTGTACTTTCCATTTAATAATATATATTCATCTCTTTATTTACTATTTTTGCTTGCACTGAAATACTTGGAAAGGCATTCCCAAGATTATATTAAAAATATTAGTCCATATTTCTTCTATCATCATACTTTATTTTTCCATTTTAACAACTGAGTATGTATTTTTCCATATTTTATCTATACTGATAACAATTCCTAACATTTACACACATACATAATTTTTTTTTTTTTAAAGTTTGTTTTGAGAGAGAGAGTGTAAGCACATGCACGCAAGCAGGGGAGGAGTAGAGAGAGAGAGAATCCCAAGCAGGCTCTGCATTGACAGCCCCCAATGGAGGGCTTGATCTCACAAACTGTTGAGACCATGACCTGAGCCAAAATGAAGAGTAAGGATGTTTGGAACACCTGGGGAGCTCAAGTCAGTTGAGCGCCCAACTCTTGATGTCAACTTAGGTCATGATTTCAGGGTCATGGGATCCTGCACTCAATGAGGATTCTACTCCACCTGCTTGGGATTCTCTCTCTCTCTCTCTCTCTCTCTCTCTCTCTCTCTCCCTCTGGCCCTCCCCTGCATTTGTACGTTCTCTCTAAATAAATAAATAAATACACACATACACAAAATATAAAATAACATAACAAGAGTGGGACAGTTAACCAACTGAGCCACCCAGGCACCCACACACGTTAATTTTTTAACATGTATGTTTTTTATTTTTTTAAAAAGTTCTTCATAAAAAAGAAAATATGCATGTATTTCTGTACCTTAGTATTCCTCCTACCAGCACCATAGAAATCCTAAAAGTCAGTGATATAGCTTCTTCCTGTCCACCAGATTATACAAGAGTATGTGTTTATATTTCACTTGTAAGGTTGGTGTTTTTTCTTCGTTTTGAAATTTTTTACACTTTAAGCTTTTAGTTTAATAGAAATGTTTTTGCATGTTTTAATGTTCTTTTAAATAAACTTCCAAGTGGTATTTTAAGCCCCACTTAATAAATAATTCTTTTTCTCCTTAAGATACTGTCAAATTACCCTCCAAAAAAAAATTTACATCCCAAAGGGGAGAGCCAATCTGAGTAGAAGGTCAATAAATGTGAAAAGTACCTGGTCTTTCATTCTTGCTTTTCTTGGCAATGTAACTGTGTTTAACTCTGAATCTGCTGGAATGCTTCTTAGTTCATGCTCTACTCTACAGATATTTTCATTTAGTGCTGCTTCTACTTTTCCAGTGGATGGTGCTGGGGAAGAACATGCTGAATCAGCAGGTTGAGGAGATACGCTTTCTCTTCTGTTAGTCCTGTCATTGTCATCATCATCATCATCACTGGACAAAATGACTATAAAGAAAATGTTAAATACTTCAGGTATTTCATTTCTGTCAGTTAATGGGAAATATACCAAATTTGCTTTGGATCTCTTCTAGAACCAAGATTAATAAAAATGAAAGAAGACACAATCCATTCTATCTGATGAAAAGTTAAATTTGAAGACAATTAGAAATGAAGAAAGGATAAGAACTGGCATTTTTTATATAGACTTACAAATATGAAAGTATTCTATAGTCCATTACCATCACCCACACAAGATATACACCCAAGTTACAGCAAAATTTAACCATATGTCATAGATCTATTTCAGAGTTCTAGAAAGTCTCAAGTATAAAGATAATCTGCACAGAAACTGTGCACAAAATAGCATGCATTGTAAATGTGTGTGAAACTCCATGTGACCAAATAATTTTATTTTACATAGGAAATCACTAAAATTGTAATTGGTCCTTAGGAGAACATGAACCAGTGTCAAATTGCTCAGTAAATTCTGTGGAGTAAATGAATGTGGACCTGAAAAGACATTAATGAAGGGAATTTGCTCTTATATCTTCTACGTGAGTAGAATAATGATATTGGATCTTAACAAACCCATCTTTATATCATAATTTCCGCAAGCCACCCACAATGCACTTGACTCAAGTCCTAACCCTTTTATGGTTTATAAATGTATATAATCTGGCCATTGCCTACTTCTCCAACTTTCTCATACTGCTCCATTTCTCCCTCTTTATGCACCAAGCACATCATCCATTTATTTTGTTCCTCAAACATCAAAGTTTGATTTTGTCTGGATTGCAATTCCCCTAACACTTTGCATTTTGGTCATTAAATATTAGCTTTTTGATTCATTACCCAATCTAAAGGAAGCAAATAGTTGGCTTATTCACAACAACTGATACAAATTTTCTGTTGTTTTTTGTTTTCTGTTGTTAGATGTTTACTTGCTCTCTCCCCACTACATATAAACTATGAGATCATTGCCTTGTCCACTGCTATACTCCCAGTCTAAAACTGCCTGGGGAAGAAAACAATTCAAAAATCATGTGTTGGAAGAACACATAAACTTGAAGACGCATTTTTCTTTTTTAGAAACCCACATGTAAATGTTTAGTTACTAAATATGCCCCAGAGAGGCATCATTCCCATCACCATTTACCTGTCTTTTTTATTTTGTTATCTAGTCTCGGAAGCAAATGCTAAAGCTGGATCTTTTTCAGAACTGTTATTTTATTAACAGAAAATCTAACATGCCAGATTACAAGATCTAAATACATTTATACACATTTGAAAGTTAGGGTTCTGTAACTTACTATTTGCCTCTGTGAAATTAGGGACAAAAATAGTACCTATTGCAAAGGACCTGTTATGAGAACAAATGATTTAATACGTAAAAGATTTGGCACAATGCCTGACATATGTAAGCTTTAAAAAAGTTCATGAACTGCTTTATTTATGAAAAACCATACAGAAATATATTATATATGAATATATATTACGGGGGAAGTCTACTGTTCTATTGACAATTATTTTTATGGTGCTTAAGGGACATTACAACATCTATATGTACTTTAAAACTTAAAGCCCCAAAGCTGCAACAGATAGAATTGTACTATATACCTCTTGTTTTAGTAACTTAACATAAATGCGGATTATGCTCAATGTCACCATAATTTGAAAGGAAATGAGAAGTGTGCAAAGACAACAAACATATACTTAAAAAGCTGGTCTCATAGCTGCTTTCATTCTGTATATAGAATACATCCTATGTAATATATAAGATTCTGCATCAGGGTCTATGATGGACTGAACTGTGTCCCCTCAAAATTCATATGTTAAAGCTCTAACCCTCACTGTGACTATATTTGGAAATAGAGCTGATAAGAAGGTAATAAAGATTAAATGAGTTCATAAAGGTGAGGCCTTAATCTAATAGGACTGATGTCCTTATAAGAAAAAGAAATGCAGAGATTTCTCTCTCTCTCTCTCTCTCTCTCTCTCTGTGGAAGCACAGAAGATGGGCCATGTAAGGACACAGTGAAGAGGCACCTGTCTACAAAGTGATGGCACCTTGATCTTGGACTTCCAGCCTTCAGAACTGTGAGAAAATAAATTTCTGTTATTTAAACTACTTGGTTTATGGTACTCTGTTAATGGGAACTCAAGCAGATTAATATAGGGTCTTTGTACTTACATTCCAACCTTATTTCCATACATATCAGCATGTCTTTCTCCTTACTTCGTTTTGGGCTCTATTCAAAAGTTACTTTATCAGAAGTGCCTATTTTACCACCTTTTTAAAATAGCACCCTTCTTCATCTTGACATCTAACAATTAGCACTCTCTATTCCCTGGACCTGCTTCACTTTTCTATACAGAATTTATCACCACTACTTCAGACACTGTACATTTTATTATTTGACCACCCAAGACATAAGAGAAGTTTCATGAAAATAAACTATTTTAATAGGAACACGAATTTAAGAATAATTAACTATACAAGGAAAACAAGACTTTGAACCAGAAAAATCTGCTTTTTAGAGTCTAAACTCCAACAGTCCTTATGTATATAATAATATTGAGAATTTAATCTTCTTAATCATGGGTTGCCTCGTTAATAAAATGGGATATATCTGTACCTACCTCACGTTATAATAATTTTTACAATAAACCAAACTTGGTTAGTGTATATACCTTTACCACAAAGTAAGGCATGTAAGCATTCAATAAATGATATTTTTTATTACTAGTATAAAATGTCCTTAAAACATATTTTTCCATGGACTTTAATAGAAAATACTTAGTCTTCAATTGTTTTGTTTGTTCATTTTTTGAGCAAGGAAGGGGAACAAATTTATGTCTTACAGTTTTAATGCATGGTTGATATGGTCCTAGATTAAGTTCTGAATAGTAAACTACTCAAGCCACTTCAAAACCACATGAATTTATTGTTTTTTAACTTAATCACATTAGCCTTAAGTTCCAGTTCTCTCATCCTAGAAACTTCATCAGGATGGTATAGCATTTGGCTCAGTAATAGTACCCAGTAACTAATAAGTAAGTTTTCTTCATATCTAACCATAAAATTGTAAAACCTTCACTATTAGGAAAGATTTAAATTATTTTAACAATATTTAATATCGCACTGATAAAACACTAAAATGTACTGTAAAATATTCATCAAATACTAACATCATCATAGTATCATAACAGATGTGTTTGTTGGCTGATACCTATCACAGTTATAATTTTTTTAATAGTTCTTTTTGAAAAATAAGCTAATGCACTGTTATGAGCTAAGGTTTGCTTTTTTTTTTTTTAAGTTTATTTATTTAAGTAATTTCTTTACCCATTGTGGGGCTTGAACTCATGACCCCAAAATCAAGAGTTGCATGCTCTCCCAACTGAGCCAGGTAGGGGCCGCTGAGCTAAGGTTTTTCTATTGAACTGAATTAAAATAGAACTTGACATATTTCTCAGATTAAAATTTTTTTTTTATTTTTAGGGGCACCTGGGTGGCTCAGTCGGTTAAGTGTCTGACTTTGGCTCAAGTAATGATTTTGTAATTCGTGAGTTCGAGCCCCACGTCAGGCTCTGTGCTCATAGCTCAGAGCCTGGAGCCTGCTTCAGATTCTGTATCTCCCTCTCTCTCTCTTCCCCTCCCCCACTCACGTTCCCGTGTGCTCTTTCTCTCAAAAATAAATACACGTTAAAAAAAGTAAAATCTACTTTAAGAAAAAATTTTTATGTCACCCCCTTTCATTTACCAGTTTTCAGAGTAATGATTTGGAACCTAAGCAACCTCCAAAGGTAACCAACTGGGCGCTTTTTTTCTTTTGGGGGAGTAGGGAGATGATATCATTGCGAGCTAAAAAAAAAAACAATTTAATATATTTGGCATATTTCAATAAATAGCAGTTATGAAACCTTTTGTGACTCATACAGTCACATTACTGGTCAATAGGAGCCCTTTCATTTTAGCTCCTGTGTCTTTTGACATGTCCACAGTAGTTTTTGACTGCTTCCATGCTTCCTGATATGAGTAAATGATCTAGATTTATCTCATACACTCCTGCTCCAGACCTGGAGTCAGCCATTTCTCTGAGGAGTTCTACTTATTTTTAGTGAGAAGTAGTATTCAAAAACACAAATATGGGAAATAGAATTGTTCACTTCTATCTAAGAGAATATATATAATAATTTCATGCCAGTCTCTCCAATCCAAGTTTAAAATTATGAGATTGTTACTTCTTTGACTTTACTTTTGAATTCCTTTGCTCTAACACTGAAAATCTTGGATTCTGGAGATAATAATAAAATTGCTTATTTGTTTTATCGATATATGTGTTTAAAAATAACAGTACAAAAAATAGCAATACCAATATTAACAGTATTACTGAATGCACTTAGAATTTCTTTGCAATTCTGTTTGACCTTAAAATATATCACATTAGGAATGCATAGCCACAGTATTATTTTAATTTAAATTCATTTGAAATAATTCTTCTGTGTGTTCAAGCCACCAACCAGATATATAATTAGGTTCATTAGTTTCATCTTGGTTTTGATTTTTTTAAATTTCCTATTTAATTTTGCTTTATAATCATGTAAAACATTTACATGGTTCTCAAGTCAAATCTACAAAAAAGGTATGTTTGGAGATATCCGGCATCTATCCCTAATTCCTACACTGTTTCCTCCCTTCTAACCAATTATTTTTAAAATTAGTTTTTAGTGTATCTTTCTTTTAAAAAAAAATCCCCTATATTCATTCTCCCACCTTCACAAACAAAGGGTAGCACATTATCTACTGTGATCTGTACTTTGCTTTATTCATGTTATTAAAGATCTTAAAACTCACTCTATAGAATATTAAATGAGATCTTTCTCTCCTCTTACAGCTATGTACACTATAGTTTATTCAACTACTCCCTGTTTCTAATCTTCACTACTTATTACAAACAGTATTGCATTTCATATACACACATATATCTACAGGTAAAAAAAAAGACTTAGGGGAAAATGGGGTGCCTGGGTGGTTCAGTTGGTTGAGCGTCTGACTCCTGGTTTCAGCTCAGGTCACGATCTCACACTTCAAGGGTTTGAGCCTCATGTCAGGCTCCATGCTGACCGTGTGGGGCCTGCTTGGGATTCTTCCTCTCTCTCTGCCCCTACTCTGCTCATTCTCACTCTCTTTCTCAAAGTAAATAAATAAACTTAAAAAAAAAAAAAAAGATTTAAGGGAAGAGTAAATGTGGTAAGAGAACTAATTTTCTCTTTGAGTTCTTTCTACATGTCAAACACTTTATTTACTGGGCTATGGTAGGCACTTTATATGTTACTTCATTTACTTCCTCAAAAACCCTATCAGGCAGAAAATAATCCATTTACAAATCAGAGAGATTAAATGAACTGGACCAAAGTTAGAAAGTTGGGCATAACTGGCACTTGACCTAAGACCGGGGTCAAGGTCTGTGCTCCCCCCACCTCCCCACTATTTAAGATGGATGGGGTGAAAACAAAGTCAGTTATTATTTTCCAACTACATGGACAGTTTTAATCATCTACCCAAAGAACATGTTATATAACTGACACAAATACCTATTAAAACTATACTTCTCAAATATGCTCATGCTCACATTAAAAACATATGTAAAAAATACTGGATTGATATAAATAATACTAAAGGGAGTAAAATACTTACTTGGATCATTTAGGTCTGACAGGCTTGTTTTCCTTTCTTTCAGGTTTGTGAGTTTGGCTACTTTTGCCCTAGGTAAAATGACTTTCCCATTAGTCTGCAAATAATTCTGTCTACTATCATCACAATTCACAATAATATCAACTGGAATCTTTCCCAGACTGTTGCCATAAAACTTCTTGGATGATAATGCTGTGTTTTGTGACTTCTGTCCTCCAGAATTCTGATGAATTGATGTTCTTAATAATGGTCCAGTAGATTCACTCAAAGTTATAGCTTGTCTGCAATTTCTTTGCACATCCTTAGGAAAAAGAATACCACAACTTTGGCATTTTGTCTGATTTTCCTTTTCTTTTCCACATTTTGGACAATACCCACACTGGTTAGAAACCTTAAGTTCCAAAAGAATAAAAAAATCAAAAGACTTTGGCATTTTATTTCAACATTATGGAATAAAAAATAAGATATCAAAATTAAGTCTCTCACTCCACATCATCATCACCATGGCTGCCAAAAAATCCTGAATACATCATGTTACTTGGGATTTAGCATCAGGATGCTGGAAGCAATTTTCAGGACCATCTAATCCAGCAATCCTTACGTTGGACCATGTACACTACTTAAGGGCTATATAAAGATTTTCTATGGCATAGAGAACGTAAATAATCTTAAGGGAATCAACATCTAAAATTCTCAATTTCCACATATCATTCCAAAACCTGACTTGATTATGCCTCTGATGTCAAGCTATCTCCTGCCAGAATTGTTCTCCTACTTAAAAAAACAAAACACTTCCATTTGAAATATTACAATGGTGCATTGCCCTGGAGTATAAAAACCACCAAACCAAACCAAAGGATAATTTAAATGTTGGAAAAAAGAATCAATTTTAAACACTGGTTAACAAAAACTTTTACAAGACAACTGATTTCTAAGACAGTGCTTCAAAAATATTTTAAGGAAGGCCTAGTGTAGGTTACAATTGTGAGATTATTAAAAATGTTTCTTGATAGTAGAGCTTCCTGTGATTTGGGGCATATAATTTAGAAGTTTAAGGATTATTTTCATACTCATGTACTTATGTGAAAAAGGTTCTTTAGCACTTAGATCTTTAAGAAGCAAAAATATGAATAGATGTTGAATTGTCTCACTATGCCCAGCATAATATTTATTCATACACACAGGAAGTAGTTGAAAAAAACAATCAGTATCTCTAATTAAAACATGCATTTCCAATAATTTTATGTCAAATAACTTATCAAACTTTATAACATATAGTTTTAATCAAGTGTGCTATTAATAACAGAAATAACTCAATCAAAAATAAATTTAACACTTTGAGTCTTATATAATAGGAAATAAGTGGATAAATACTTCTGACAGTGAAATAATAGTAAGAAATAGTAATTATCAAGTGTTATAGTATTTGTATGTTACCAGATCCATGTATGAGGAGAGTGATTTAACCACTCTCTATTTTAAAATGTTACTCTTTTGGGGCACCAACTGGCTCAGTCAGTTGGGCATCTGATCTTGGTTTCGGCTCAGGTCATGATCTTACAGTTTGTAGGTTCGAGCCCCACAGTGGGCTCTGTGCTGGCAGCATGGAGCCTGCTTGGAATCCTCTCTCTCCCTCTCTGCCCCTTCCCAGCTTGCGTTTTCTCTCTCTCAAAAATAATAAAATAAAATGTTACTCTTTTCACTGTGTCAACTATTACATCCTATGTAACCATTTAATCTTGAAACAAAAAATGTTCAATGTCAACTTAAAAATATGTAAGAGAATGTATAGTTGTTTAAAATTTTTTAAATCTTTTAGGTGCCAGAAGTCATCAAGTAGTTGTAGGAGGAACATGTTGTATAAACATAAATTTCAAAATTCACTGAGCTAAAAGCTTAAGTTCTGGACATCTTATTCTATGTAAATTTATACCTTAAATACACTTAGGAAATTGTCTAAAGACCACTGGTCTAGTCTTATCTTCTTGTTTTAAACAAGGGAAAACTGACAAAAACTGTTTCCCTTGTCTTACATGACTCATAACAGAGCCATTCTATCAAACCATGTTATCTATTCAAGGATCTACCCCAGATAACAAAGAATGAATCCAAGCTTCAACCAAGGCAAAGCTGAACTTAGAACATTGTTCACTATCACAGCATATGTAGATTATAAAAAAAAAAAAAGAACATGTCTCTTTCTCTGCCAATACATAGCAGAATTCTGTTAAACTATTTGTGGAGTCTAGGTATAAGGAATTTTTTTCTCATACCACTTGTGATAGTGCCCTGTGTATTTAGGATGTATAGTTAACAGGTGAACTACGCAAACAACTCGTTAGACACAAATATGGGACAGATTATCTACCTCTCGAATTTTAGCCTATTGTCAATAAGGGAAAGAAATACTAGTATAGTTAACCCTTGAACAACACAGGTTTGAACAGCATAGGTCCACTTACATGACAATATTTTTTGATAAATACAGTACTGTAAATGTTATTTTATCTTATTATTTTCTCAACATGTACTTTTCTCTAGCTTACCTTACAGTAAGAATACAGTATACAGAGGCACCTGGGTGGCTCAGTTGGTTAAGCGTCTGACCTCAGCTCAGGTCATGATCTCATGGTTTGTGGGTTCAAACCCTGCATAAGGCTCTGTGCTGACAGCTCAGAGCCTGGAGCCTGCTTTGGATTGTTCCCCTCTCTCTCTACCCTTACTCCACTAGTGCTTTCTCTCTCTCAAAAATAAATAAACATTTAAAAAAATACACTATATAATACATAACATGCAAAGTATGTGACAATCAACTGTGTTGTTGGAAAGGCTTCTAGACAACAGTTAAGTTAATTAAATGAAGTAAATAAATGAATAAAATTCTGGAAGAGTTAAAAGTTAATATGCAGATTTTCAATTGTGCAGGGATCAGCACTTCTAACTCCTGTGTTGTTCAAGGGTCAACTGTACATTTAAATGAAATAATGCAATTGTTCCCTAATGGACTTCAAATGGTTAGCCATGTCACAATGCACCTAAAAGGGAAACTCAAACAAAACAGCAGTGCCCATCTATGCATACCACACCGTGATAAAATACCTAATCATCTCAGAAATATCTAAACCCCACTCTTTTCATAGTAAGCAAAGAAATACTTCCATTTCTACATAGGTTTACAAAATATCCTGGTGAACCCCAAAAAAGTTTAAAGATATTAATTTATATGGAAAACCGAGCCCCATCTGTTGTAGTGGGAATCAACTACATATAAGCTAACCCTGTCTTTTAAGAATCTGACACCAGAGGCACCTGGGTGGCTCAGTTGATTAAGTGTCTCACTTTTAATTTAGCTCAAGTCATGACCTCATGGTTTATGAGTTCAAGCCCTGCATTGGGCTCCATGCTGACAGTGCAGAGCCTGCTTGGGATTCTTTCTCTCCCCCTTTCTCTCTGCTCCCACCAACAGTGTGCACACTTGTGTTCTTTCTTTCTTTCTCATAATAAACACATAAACGTAAAAAAAATCTGACTCCAATTTTTCATTGCCTATAACAAAGATAAATAGTACATATTTCAATGGAAAGAACCCCATGAAAAGGTAATACTCCCACATATTTCCTTTTATAAGTTGATACTAAACACAGAAAGCACATAGTATTCAAATTTCTGATATTAAAATGCAGAATGAACTATACTGTAAACTATAATCATATGCCTTCCATCAGCTAAGAAACACATACCTTGGAACTATTTGCAACAAAAACAAAATGCATGTTAGCTGAACCAAATATAATATTGATATGTTATTATATGATATCATATGCATGATAAAAACTACAGATTCAGAACTGTATCAACCTAACAATCTAAACACTATAATCTCAACACTGCTCAATTACTTTTAGTAAAGTGTGTATGAAGTTATATATTTCCATAATAATTTCATGTTAGATAAAATTTCTTTTGGAAAACAAAGACTAATTAAAGTCTCATTTTCCCCCTCTTGGTAGGTAGACTATTACAAAATAAAATAAATCCTAGTCAGTAACACATACTATCTGCCAGACTCTATAGATAAATAATAACCAAGTAAGCTTAATAAGAATGAACCTGTCTCTGATGAGACACCAATGAGACGTCATTTTTAGTAAATATCCTTAAGATGTATAATCTCATTAAATATCAAAGACTGTGTTTCCTTGTAAACAGTACATAGTGTAGCATTTCACAAGCTACATGTGGGGAAAAAAAACCACTAATTTTGTTTAAGAATTAAAAATTACATAAAGGGTGGCTAGAATCTATTCTTTATGTTCACTAAGAACAGAGTAAGAACAACTGGAATGCAGTAAAGAGTAAAAGAAAGATTTATTTTAGATGTTAAAAAATTCTGAGGTTTTCAGCTGGCATGCTTAGGGGAGAGAAGGACAGTGTGTCCTTTCTGCTTCTTTACCTGTATCAAGCAGTGGGCCAGGCAGCGGGGAAATGCCAGTATGGGCTAGGCCAACCTTAGGCTGGCACTCCAGGAGAATGATCAGATAAAAAGCAACTGAACCAGTAAGTAAATGATGGGAGTCAGGCTTCTCAGTCAGAGAAGGAAGTTACAAATATGCAAAGTGGGAAAGGCTAAGATAAACACTGTGGTATTAGACCAGAACTGGAACTATCAGTGTGAATGCATGCATTTTAACATGTACTAAATATTAACACATAAACACACATATATTTGCTAGTTTTGCCCACTGAGAGGGCCTCTACACATGATACCAATTAGCAATAAGCATAACTAATGCCCAAATAGGTCCCTCCACTTATAGGAACAATGGCCCTTGGCGAAATACATAACTCTAGAGCTGAGACAGAGAAGATACAAAGAAGTCTAGACCATCTGGTTACATCAAAACTTAAGGAAGTATTCAAAGAATGATGTGGTTATGTCAAAAAGAAAGAGGAGCCAGCTTAAAGAACTTTCTGGGGGCCAAGACTGGGACAACCTGAGCATCAAAATAATGACAGTGACAGAGTATAATTTTTTTGAGTAAGAATCCATGTTGTGTCTACTATACTTCCAAAAAAAGAAAAGATCTATGTATTGAGCTGTATAAAGAAATAAGTAAATATAAGGAAAATTTCTACCTTAGAGTGGTACATCCTTTTATTATACTTTATATACACTCTACCTTACAGCAGCTCATCTTATTAATAAATAATACCTACTAATTAACTTTAAGGTGGACAAATATAGGAAAGTACATCTTAAGATAAATGTTATAATGTGAAAATTGTATATATTCTGATATGATGCAATGATGAGATTATAGAATCACTTGAGAGGATTCTTTTAAAATGCATAAATCATGAAGAAACATACTCCTCACAAATATCAACTTAATGAAAGACAAGGAAGGACTAAGAATTATTCCAGATTAAGGAAGACTAAAGATTACAACAATGAAATATAACACAATCCTGAATTTGATCCCGTTCCAGTGAAGGAAATTAATTAGGTGAAATGTGAATGGAGTTGGTGGATTAGACAGTAATTTTGGATCCATGTTAATTATAAAATTTTGACAAGCATACTCTGGTTTTATAGGAACATGCCCCATTCTCTGCCCCCTCCCCTGCCTTTTCTAAGGAAACGTGCACTAAAACATTAAAGTAATAAATAGGCATCATATTTGTTACTTATTCTCAAATGGTGCGGAAACACACACATATACAGAGGGAAGGTGGAAGGGAGGGAGATCAATATTTCAAATGTGGAAAACTGAGGAATCTAATAGAAGTCTATGTAAGCTGTTTTATTATTTCTTCAACTTTTTTGCAAATTTAAAATAATTTCAAAATATTTCTGGTTGAGAGCTATTATTTGGAGTATGTTGCAGGAAGGCACTGATAAATTCTTTCCAGATATATGTGTTTTACATTTTGGATAATGAAAAAAATGACATAGTGAAGGCAGAAAAGTCTGCTTAAAAAACTTTCTAGGAGAGGCTCCTAAGCAGCTCAGTCACTTAAGCATCTGACTTCGGCTCAGGTCATGATCTCATGGTTTGTGGGTTCAAGCCCTGCATCTGACTCTGTGCTGACAGCTCAGAGCCTGGAGCCTGTTTCAGATTCTGTGTCTCCCTCTCTCTCTGCCCTCCCCTGCTCATACTCTCTCTCGGAAATAAATACACATTAAAAATTTTTTTTTTCTAGGGACTCTTGGGCAGCTCAGTAGGTTAAGCGTTCAACTCTCAATTTCGTCTCAGATCGGTCAAGATCTCATGGTTTGTGGGACTGAGCCCCACACTGGGCTCCATGCTGACAGTGTGGAGCCTGCTTGGGATTCTCTCTTCTTCTCTTTCTTTGCCCCTCCCCCACTCAACACTCGCTCTCTCTCAAAATAAATAAACATTAAAAAAAAAAAAACTTTTCTATGTCTCTTCTAGTGCTATAAGTAAAGATCCCCTAGAATTTAGTAAGTATTAAATGTTATACTGATAAAAATACCAACTAATTGATTAGCAACAAAGAAGAATTTCTCTACCCACCTCTATATCAGTTAAACATTTTTTTGAAGCAGGAGACAGAGGAGATAGAGACTGATATGTGCTACTATGACGTTTCTGTGGTACTTTCCTTTTAATTTCAGACTCCAGATGTGATTCTGACTCTTCAATTTTCTTTGTTACACGATCTAAAGGAAGGAGAAAAAAAAACAAATGTACTGAAATTAAATCTTATAAATTCCTCATGACTTTTGCTATAAACAATACTAATTTATATTACCAAATTATTATAGTTTGATTAAAATAAATTAATGTTTCAAAATGTACAACAAAGAGTAAGCAAAACTTGGGAGCAGGGGAAGATGGCTAAGAGGATCCTGAGCTCACCTCCTTCCTCAGGCACCAAGGCAACAACTACATATAATGCAACTCATTCTGAAAATAATCTTAAGATTACCAGAACAAATCTTTATAAAAGTATAAAAGAAAGGACACATTGAGAGGGTATGAGAGGCAGAGATGCAGTCGGGAACAAAATCCCTGGCAGGTAATCCAAAAGTGGGAGTGGTATCACAGGCGTGGAGGCCCTCCCAGAGGAGTGAGGGGATCAAGTTAGGCACCCTGGCTCTGGGAATCAGCCCCAAGAAGACAAGCTACACATAACACCTGGCTTTGAAAATCAGCAGTGATAACTCCAAGAGCTTTGAATATCAGTAGGCCTTAACTCTGGGAAAGCTGAAGGCTATCAGGGGAAAAAAAA